TGGTCCAATCCACTGTTTAGACTGTTCTTTGGTTTCAGGAGTGTAGTGGTGGACCCACGTTTCGTCAACGGTTACGAATCGACGCAAAAATTCGCTTGGATTACGCTTATACAATGACAAATTTGCGGTAGAAATGTTTTTTCGAATCAATTTTTGGTCGACTGTTAGCAAACGCGGCACCCATCTTGCACAGAGCTTTTCCATATGCAAATGTTGGTGCAAAATATGTTGCACACGTTCATATGACATCTTACAGGTCTCAGCTATCTCACGCACTTTCAATCTGCGGTCTCCCAGCACTATTTGATGAATTTTTTCGATCATATCTGGAGTTGTGACCTCAACGGGGCGTCCTGAGCGAGGCCCATCAGAGGTGCTCACACGACCCTTTTTAAACTCGGAAACCCACTGCTTAACGGTTGAATATGACGGGGAGGATGTCCCCAGTGTTGAGTCCATCTCTTTTTTAATTTCCTTCGGCGTTAACCCCTTCAAATAAAAGTATTTGATGACAGCACGATTTTCCTGCTTTTCCATTTTTACGAAAACCACAGAGGCGTCTTGTTCAGCGTGCTGTCAAACCTACACTAGCAAGGAGATCGGGCTGAAACTATAGCTACAAGCTATCCAAGGATGGTACTATAGAATGTCACCTCAAGGTAGGCCTAGTGGCGTCATCTCTTGGTTAGGCCGGAAACTTATCAATCCACCCTCGTAATGTTTGACCGGAATTGATGGATTCGTGTGTATATCATAATACTGTCACGTATTTAGACACCTTTCTCACACTATTACACCTTTATTTAACTAATCGCTGTCTAATTAACAATTCTGTTATTAATTAGTTACCAATTCACCACTATATGAACACTTTGTCACTTCTTCGCATTGTATCGCCTCGAACTTTCCCACTCTCACAGTCATTCTCGATATTTTTTGTATAGATTATTCTCGAGGAGGGAAAATCTTCAAAAGAAACCTCTTGAAGGGAGGTAATGTGGGATTTTTACCTACTAAAACCGCTCCTCGAGGGGGAAGATCAACCTGACATTGGACATTTCCGGGAAGCAAATGGAAAGGTTGGGAGTGGGGTTGATTGTGGGGAGGAGACGGGAGTATTTGGGGGAGAAACCGTCGAAATAGGTCGTCCACCTCTAAAGTGATGGGTGGACTCACGCTAAAAAGTGAAGACTTCGACTCTCGATCTCGCGACAACTATTTATAGAGGCTGGCCGTGTTCTAGAATGATCCAGTATATGCTTTCTAGAAACCTGGTCTTTATTGCCACTATGTATGTTGGGTTTCCTACATACATACATGTGACAATACTTATATCTCATTTAGTTATATCAGACAAAGTATAGAATTTATAAAGTAACCCCTCTGATCATTTCTGTAAAGATTTTAGTTTAGTAACCCCTCTGATCATTTCTGTAAAGATTTTAGTTTCACCCAAATTGATCTATGGTAGAATTTCCTAAAGATAAGATATCATCATTACAAAGAATCTAATGAATCATCAAAATACATTAATATGGTTTTATACATTTCTTATTTATTTACAGACTTTCGTTCTTTTACAACAATATCGTTGCAGAATTTTCCTTCTTTTCCCATTACCCTGTAAAATTTTCATTTTTATAATTTGTAATAACAAGTGTTGACTTGAGGCGTTTTAGCGTATTAATAATAATCATGTGTACCTGTAATTTCCGCCTACTTGATTTGTTTTGACCGTCGTCTTTTTTGTCGTTTGTTTGAACTTTAGCTTGTGTATTACCCGGCTATTAAATTTGTAAATTCGCTGGTGTTCAGATGTTTCTTTCTGAATGTCACGGCTACAAACAATAGTTGTCCATAATATTTTCTGATATTTATATATTATTATTAGAGTTATTGTGTTGTGTTGTGTTTTAACGAGTGCATAGTGACGAAAAAAAGTTAAAGAATAAAGTGTGAACAATAATGTGTAATGAATTTTTCTTCGAGAAAAAAGTGGAAAACTTATTTAACAAGAGTATTTTTGCAAATACGGAGGTTCTTTCGGTTTTGTGTTTCTTCTTGTCGCAATNTATACAGTATGTCTTTGGACCAACCGATAAGAGTGACAATTTTATAGAAAATTGAATTTATTGTAGGATAATTAAGCGTATAAAAACACCGTGTTTATTCATAATGAGTTTAATATTAATGTGTAGCTGGTTGTGTAAATTGCAATAGTTAATAAGCAAATTAATTTATTGTAAAAATTGCATTTTTTCACATTAAATAGTTAATTTCGCAATAGTTGGAAATTTTTTATTCATTATCTCCTGTCTTCTATTTCTGATTTGTCAAGGTGCGCATCAAGGTGAAAAATAAAATTAGAAAACTATACGGACAAAGTTTGCTCATATTTTAAATAAATGAAGCAGTTATAGTGACATGAAGGTCTAGTCAGAGACATATTAGAGGCAGAAACAGGAGTTAGGAGGGGTAGAGGTAGACCTAGATTAGATTATTATTTGCAAATAGTTAAGGATGTGGGATGTTCTAGTTTTAGGGGAAATGCGAAGATTTGGCTCAGGATAGGAAAAAGTGGAGGTACGTGTCCAACCAGTCTTAGGACTGATGACCTTATGATGATGATGATGACTATTTACGAAATTTTGAAAAATTAAAGTACGTCGGTACAACGTTTGTTTTTAGAAAAAGCAGTTTTTGAAAGCTTTCACTTTTCGTTGATTTATTGAAATCTTTAACAAATGATTTAACATGTTCAAAAGAAGGACTTGTTACCTTGTAAGATGAAATTTGTTAGGAATTTCAATAAATTTAGTTTTCGAAAAATGCTAAGATTGACTCAAGATAAGAACGAAGACTTTACAGTGACTTCCTCGCGATAGAAAACTATGAACGGGAGCGGTAGAAAAGCAAAGACAAAAGCAGAGGCTTGTAAAATTTGTTTATTTACTCGCACACGATCGTTAACAACTTCAGTTACGATTATTTCACGACGCGGAGAGCATGAATGGCTTGTCTTTTGAGAGACAACACGTAAAACAGATCTCGTAATCACAGTCGGAAACGGAGCTTCGTTACATTCTGTCCTGTTATTTTGCGTTTTTCAAAACGTTGGTACATTTTCTTTACTATATAGTGCATTTAATTTGCGTATACATTATAGTATCTAAACGTAGTTGGGTGTCTGTTCTTAAAAATTGTGTTGGCGTTAGTTTATTGATAGAGATGCAGGTGTTTCGCTGGAGGAGACTTTAACTTTGATGTTGTAAGAGCAACTTGTTTTAAAATTTTAATGTATGATTTCGGGTTGCTAATAGAGAGAAAAAGCGCAACAGTCCTGACCTGATATTTTCAACTACTGTAGGTAAATTAATNCAGTGCATTTTTCTATGATTTTTCCCGATTTCCTCGTCCGTTTGATGGATCTGGACAATTGTTATAATGTAATATATGTGTGTACAATATATATAGAAGCCACATTGTACCCAAGTACTAAAATCAACCGTTTCCAGGAGTATTTATAAATATTGTCGTGTGTCTTTGAAAGAGTGGTAGACCCCGCGAGATGTGCCAGCATGTCTTTTTCCTATTTCTGTTTTCTTCCGTTATACGTATATGTAGTGACGACATGATACTTTTACCAGTATCGCGTTTGTAACCGGTCAAAATGTTCACCTGAAATTTTTCTCCAAAAATTATTTTCTTTACCTATCTATAAAATCGGTTTAATAATTAAAGTTCTCTTTTTGACTTTGGTGCTAATATCAAGTGCAGTTGTGAGGTGCTACATAATTGCGGTTTTTATAATAATTTGCGTATACAAACCTTTAAATAATTTATTAAAAATAAGAAAACACATATAGTAGGTATCTGCAAACATACATAGAAATATTAGGGAGATTTGGGATCTCTCAAAAAACTTCTGGTGGAATAGGAAAATAAGAAAGAAGCAATAAAATTTTATTACTATTTATAAATAAAAGTAAAACTAAAATACTGATATGCAAGGGAAGAAAAAGTAGGGAAAGAGCGAATATAAAGATAGGAGACGAAAAATTAGAAGAAGTGGCTGATTTTAGATACCTAGGAAGTCAGATAAGTGAGGATGGAAGGAGTAGTAGGGATATAAAGCAGAGGATAGCGCAGGGTCGTGTCGCCTTTAATAAAAAGAAGTCACTTCTATGCTCGCGAACGGTTAATTTAGAAATTCGAAAAAGGTTGTTAAAGGTGTATGTTTGGAGCACGGCGTTGTACGGGTGCGAAACATGGACAGTGGGAGCGGCGGAAAAGAAAAGGTTAGAAGCGTTCGAAATGTGGTGTTATAGGCGGATGATGAGGATATCGTGGGTAGAAAAGGTTAGAAATGAAGAGGTATTGGAAAGAATAGGAGAACAGAGGACTCTATGGAAGTCAATAAAAAATAGGCGAGATAGGTTGGTAGGACACCTTCTCAGGCATGAAGGTCTAGTCAGAGACATATTAGAGGCAGAAACAGGAGTTAGGAGGGGTAGAGGTAGACGTAGATTAGATTACTGTTCACAAATAGTTAAGGATGTGGGATATTCAAGTTTTAGGGAAATGCGAAGTTTAGCTCAGGATAGGAAAAAGTGGAGGTACGTGTCCAACCAGTCTTAGGACTGATGACCTTATGATGATGATGATGACTATTTACGAAATTTTGAAAAATTAAAGTACGTCGGTACAACGTTTGTTTTTAGAAAAAGCAGTTTTTGAAAGCTTTCACTTTTCGTTGATTTATTGAAATCTTTAACAAATGATTTAACATGTTCAAAAGAAGGACTTGTTACCTTGTAAGATGAAATTTGTTAGGAATTTCAATAAATTTAGTTTTCGAAAAATGCTAAGATTGACTCAAGATAAGAACGAAGACTTTACAGTGACTTCCTCGCGATAGAAAACTATGAACGGGAGCGGTAGAAAAGCAAAGACAAAAGCAGAGGCTTGTAAAATTTGTTTATTTACTCGCACACGATCGTTAACAACTTCAGTTACGATTATTTCACGACGCGGAGAGCATGAATGGCTTGTCTTTTGAGAGACAACACGTAAAACAGATCTCGTAATCACAGTCGGAAACGGAGCTTCGTTACATTCTGTCCTGTTATTTTGCGTTTTTCAAAACGTTGGTACATTTTCTTTACTATATAGTGCATTTAATTTGCGTATACATTATAGTATCTAAACGTAGTTGGGTGTCTGTTCTTAAAAATTGTGTTGGCGTTAGTTTATTGATAGAGATGCAGGTGTTTCGCTGGAGGAGACTTTAACTTTGATGTTGTAAGAGCAACTTGTTTTAAAATTTTAATGTATGATTTCGGGTTGCTAATAGAGAGAAAAAGCGCAACAGTCCTGACCTGATATTTTCAACTACTGTAGGTAAATTAATTAATTTTAATAATTATTATTGTGACTTGTACATGTACATGGAGCCTTACAACGTGTTTGGCCTTGTTTATCAATCCTATAGTTTCATGTGTCTACTTTCCATCTAAGAAAAGTCAAAATGAGTAATTGTTATTAACATCTCAAATTTACTTGTCCAATCATTCCTCCATGCCTACTAATTGTATCAAAAATTTTAGTTTTTCTACTAATATGAACATTTTCTTACGAAAGCTTTGTTTGGGTTAAATTAGGCAAAATTTTAATTAGTTTTGTTTGAAAATAATAACTACTTAACAATTTTATTTATTATTGGTTGGTTTGTTTTTAAATAAAACCCAATAATTATCATTTAATACCACTTTTAGTTGATACGGAAGATCCTTAATTAATCTTTTATTAAATTTTTAAAAACACAATTCACAAAATGTGAAATAAAACGATAACTTACGTATTTCCCCATCTTATTTTTATGGAAAATGAAAATTTGGCGAAAAATATTTTAATCTAACCTGTTGTGTGGCATATACGTTCGTTTAGACATTTGCCAAGTTAGAATAAAAAATTATTATCTATTATTACCGAGTTCAAACTGGGTTTATTTGCAACAACTTTCTAATAACGTTGTTGAATCATAAAAAATTTTTGGGTATTTTGCATTAAATTTTTTTTATAAGTAACTGATTATTCACACTGGATTCTTATGTTCGTGTATTTCTTAAGTAAAAATAAAAGTAGTTGTACTCTAAAAATATACCTTATCATTACGAGATAAATTTACGTAATGATTCAAGATAACACTTGTGAAAAGTGAAACTATAACATTTTAATAATTTGAAATTGATTCTAACGTGTGAATATCAAAAATTAGCAGCAATTCACGTCTTTCCTTATCATTTGTAATGAATTTTTAAGTATAGGCATATAAAAAACAAATTTACTTTGCTGTTTCATATCTCTGATACCAAAATAAAGATATTATGTACACATACAAAAACAATTTGCCGTAATGCTTGTAAGATTAATTAAAAATTCTATACTCTACATCAGCTTTGAAGTTTTACACTAAAAAATATGATACTTATTAAAATGAAGCCTATCTATTTTAGTTGTTAGCTGTTGCATACTTCTTTAATGACATCATTAATATAATGCATCGTTTATAACTCCAGGCATTTTATGACTACCTTTTATTAACAAATATGTATGTGATTTCATGTTCAGTGAACTTTTTCCCTTACCTATATAGTACATGGCGTACATAACTACTGTTTGTTGATAAAAAGTTTTTATTTCCTGCGATATGTACAGGTAAAACATATTTCCCTGATATGCATAGGTTATCGGTATAATCACTGGTTTCAGTAATTTACAATTGCTACTAGGAGTTTTCTTGAACATCCTGTATACCACAAACGCGGTAAATTGTAATAATCTTAGAGTAAATTTCATGATTCATGAAAGTCGTGTTATGTTCTGAGTGTAATTTTAAGTGTTCGACGATTAGAAAGACTTCTTAGAAGTCCTGCAAAGCGTCCTGTAATTATATAGCTGATTTAACACACCAACGAGTCAATATAAACGTGATAGCGCACCCATTACACAGCCGTTTCCAATGAAGGTTCATTAGAATTTATTGACAAAGAAAATTGCATTATAACCCATAGACTTCTCAATGACGATAAGATACTTAACAAGTAAATTATGTTGCCGTTCTCTTAGATTCAAAATAGATAATAAATAGACAGATAGGCATGTTCCTTCCACTAGAGGTACAATTTTCGGATGTTCACACTTTCTGTTTGCCATTTTGTTTTTCATAATTTTTAATCGTTTATCAATAGCGTGATGTTCTATTACTTAAAACCTTTGCCAAAAAATAAGCTTTCCAATAAAAGTCATTGTGTAACACTCATTTTCGTATATGTATGTGTACGGGTGACATACACTCGCACTCAAAAACTGAAAGGTGTAAATGGCTTAGTGGTAAGAGTGCTCGCCTCTCAATCTGGCGCTCCCGAACTGACCGGCTTCTATTCCCGGCTGATACATTATTTTTTTCTTCTACTAACAAGATATAAACGATAAAAGACAGCTGATATAAGTAGTGCGCGAAAACGAAAGCAGGTGTAGGCAGTGATATAAAATGACAAGCAATATAATTAACGTAGCGTTAGATAAATAATAAGAATCTTATGTAAGACCTGTAGACGTATGGTAATAAATAAATCTTCTCGTATTAGGGCGCAAACCCTTCGTGTGTACCGATCGTCGATTAAATCTAGAAGTCAGTTAATGTTGTCGAACGTGATTGTAGGCGTTTAAACGTTTATTTGAATTAAGTAGAATTAATCACGCGAATATTTTTACTTGAATCGGGAACGCCATGGTGCATAATACCTACATGCATTACTTTACTGTAATAATGATGGAGTCATGCGTAGGTTCAATGGTCATTTTTGTTAAATTTTCCCAGCGCAAGAAACAGAGGTATCAGCTCCGTATAATATAGATATATAGATCTCGTTCGACATTTAACCTTTAATTGACCCTTTTCACATTTAATACATGTAAGTGGGTACTTGGGTTAAACATGAACGCATTAATTGTATAATAAATGACTAGATAAAAGTCAAGGGGTGCCAAATAATTAATGGTGGGCAGACCTAAAGTCACTTCTATGCTCGCGAACGGTTAATTTAGAAATTCGAAAAAGGTTGTTGCACGGCGCTGTACGGATGCGAAACATGGACAGTGGGAGCGGCGGAAAAGAAAAGGTTAGAAGCGTTCGAAATGTGGTGTTACAGGCGGATGATGAAGATATCATGGAAGTCAATCAAAAATAGGCGAGATAGGTTGGTAGGACACCTTCTCAGGCATGAAGGTCTAGTCAGAGACATATTAAAAGCAGAAACAGGAGTTAGGAGGGGTAGAGGTAGACCTAGATTAGATTACTGTTCGCAAATAGTTAAGGATGTGGGATGTTCTGGTTTTAGGGAAATGCAAAGATTAGCTCAGGAAAGGAAAGAGTGGAGGTGCTTGTCCAACCAGTGTTGGGACTGACGACCTTATGATGATGATGATACAGAGTCCTTTGTTTATGTGCAAACGTTTCTATCGTACCTAATGGTACTCATCTTCAGTGCATTGCTTGTAATCGTATGCGATTATTCAACAACGCTACCTTTAGAGACACCATGTATACTAATGCTTTACATATAGTTAATTCATAATTCGAAATTCAACGCTAATTCTAAGTGATTGTGTGAAAGATATCGGCCAATATGACTCTTCCATGAATGCAAATAATGGGTTTCACATATTTGATATACACGCCAATACCACTTTAATATTTATTCTTCTTTATTGTCTCTCCTAGCACGATTAGACACTGAATACTTAAACGCGATTACGAGATTAACATCTTTGCATTTTATAGTTAAATTATGTTTCTACAAGCCAAGACACGACAACGGATTTAATGGATTTGTTTGACGAATGCTGAATTTGAATACAAACGATTTGATCTAATCGTTTAGGTACTTATTGAATGGATTATCTTCGTTGAATTAGAAAACGACGAAAACCTAGACATTTTCCGTTGAAAAATAATACGATATAAATAAAAAAATGTTAATCATATAGAATCGAAGAAAAATAGCTATTAGTTAAGACTCCCTGATGTGGTTTACACAAATTTTGTATTGAGGCCAAGTATATCTGCAGGTTTGTGTTTAGTATTTGAAAAAACAATTAGTAGACTTAAACATACACGTATTACGTATGTGTGTTTTACGCTTGATAAGGATGAGCTACTTTGGAATTTAATTAAATATACAATTACTCAATTAGTGTTAACGTTAGTGGAAGATCGTATAAAACAACGGTGAAAATATATCATAATTATCAACTCATTAAACTATTCATTGCTTTTCATATTTCTTCAGTGTTTTAGGTATTGATCACCTTTTTTCATAATAGTATTAATAAACATACATACAATTTAGACAATTTTTAGAAGTGAGTTAGTTTAATATGAAATATTAATCTGAAGATTCATTTTTGAATTTTTTACCCACTACACGCTACCTCAAATTAATGAGGGAAAAATTGTTGCACACCCCCGCCGGGAATCGAACCCGGGCCGTTTGGCTGTACGCACCAATGTTCTGACCACTAAACTACGAGAGGTGACAACAGCAACAACGACTAGGTTTAGTGGTCAGAACATTGGTGCGTAAAGCCAAAGGTTCCGGGTTCGATTCCCGGCGAGGATGTGACAACAGCAACAATTTTTCCTTCATTAATTTGAGGTAGCGTGTAGTGGGTAAAAAAATCAAAAATGAATTTTCAGATTAATATTTCAAAGTATTAATAACTTATTATCTAAATAGAACAGAAAAATTATCTGATGTATTAAGAAATTAAAAAAAAAACAGCATGATTATTAGTAATTAAAATTTAAAAGATGCAACAGGTTGAAGTGAAGAAACAGTAGCTTTACAGCCCGTTAGACTTTCTTGTAAACATTTCTGCGACACTTTTTTCTACACCGAACGTTCTCCTTCTCTCTAATCTCCGTTAGATTAACAATAACTTTCAGTACGTGTGTTTATTGCTGGAGGTGTTGATAACGTAACAAAACACGAAATCGCCATGATAATACGCAAGACCTCGGTAGTGTACAACAGCTGTGGATGCAAAAACCGCTGCACTTTATAACCAATTTATCATTTATCATTGGTCATTAATTTAAGTGTCATTAATAACAATAATTAATAATATTCGATAAGGAAAAAAATGTACAAGACGTAAATTGCTGCTCGTCATTTGGGTACAACGAACTAACCTTTCTCCCCCCCCTCCCATCCCCCGTAGTATCTCCCCTCAATCATTATTTTTACTTTTTTTATTGCAAGTTGCATATAAGTATACATTTGGCATAACGTGAGCTATTAAAGGTCATTGTTAAAGAAAATGTGGAATAAATGGTAGTGCCGGTAGTAGTACCATGTTGGAGTTGGTGAAAAAGGCGAATTTTTTTACCGGGGGTGGCGGTCCGGTAACGTACACCGCCCAATATACGCCGGGTATAACGAAAAGGAAAGATAAAACTGTTAGAACTTTTATTCAAATTCGACCAAAAAGTTTGTTATGTTCCGGGAATTCCGAAGAGAGCTACAGCTACCATAATCCCAGCGACACCTGGAAGTTTCACAGACCGAGGCCCAAATCCTACAGGTAATGACAATACAACTAAAGAAATACAAATAGATTAATCAGGTACTACAGGAGGGGTCCCAGTATCTATAGTTTAAATAATGAACATTTAAAAAACAAACAAAACGCTTCTATTATGCGTTCTATAAGTACTTATTAAATTCGATTATCAACAGTGTATATTTTCCCAAGAAAATTTCATAGTTGCTGTCACTGCGCTAGACCCTTCCAAGGGGACAGCAGCGAATCTAGGGTCTATCTATTTAGGAAATTAATATACAGAGTATTCTTTTTCCAAGACAAGTGAAAGTTTCTTTTATTTCAAATCGAATTAAAACTAAGAAAATTCATTATATTTAATTTTAAGAAAGTTTAGGTCATTCTTAGGTTCACTGTATTGCCTCCCCATCTTCCTGTTTTCATAAATGAACAGATAATGAAGGTACCTGCAGATAATATGCAACAATATTTTGATATTTCATATAGCATTAATTATTATGTACTAGGGAACGTTAGATTTTTTTCTTCTAAAGCGAGAGGTGACCTAGAAAAGGTTGACAATCTCTAGTTTAGACCAATTACTAACTCNATTTATTGTAGAGAAATTTTAATCGAAGAACGGTCAGCTGCTCAAGAAACTATGAGACGTGAGAATAGAAGAGTAGCTGCAATGTCATGGGGATCTACTGATGATTCACCACCGCCAAAACCTGCCAGGTTCCCAATGCAAGGTACGTATTTTTGATTTAGAATTATTTATGCTTGATTTTCAACCTCTATATTTTCTTGCAGGTGTCGATTCTAGTTCTTTAGCTTCACTAAATTCATTCGGAGGGGCATCAGGTCCCCCTCAGACTTACATCGTGGCCCAAAATCCAGAAGTATTAGCGCATCTGATGAAAGAAAACGAATCGAGAAGCCTCTGTCCATCGGCTTATACAACTCCAGCATCGGTATTTAACACAATTGATTTTTTTATTTTCATTCTGATTAAGTAGACAGATAGTCTAGCAGTTATAGGGCTTAAGACCTTATCTTATAATAAGATAGTACAGTCTCAAAGTGCTTCTATAATTTAATACATTTGCAGTTTTTACCATAAAAAACTAGATCGTTTATTTTTATGTTTTTGAAAATTCGATTGAATAATCTCTTCTCCAAGAATTAAAAACTTCTTCACTAAATGTTTTGATTAGAAGATTTCACATTGAAAACTACAATTTCTTAACTACATTATTGCCAAACATCCTTGTTTTATTTTTCATAATTATTATACATTAGTACATGTGTAGATTTACATATGTAAGCATACACTACACATAGACAAAATTACGTGGGTGAAGTACGTAACATACACTGCATACTTGAAACGTTTAGTATTCACTATTGAAATGCTTGTTGAATGAAACTACAAGAGTTAATAGTCCAGGTGTTTGGAAGGTGTGTAGGAAGTATTAGATCAGATCTGCTCCAAGGGGTCAATAGAAAAGTTGACAAAACTGACACTGAAGAGATTTATTTATTTTTGTCTAATATTAAATATTTTTTAATAATGTATCAGGCAGTCGTTCTTCTCTATCTCTTATTTCATGTTCTTACATGTTTGTTTTAAAACAACAATAAACTGTTTAATTTTGTTGCCTTGTAGAATGTACAGCAAGATCGACACAGTGTTCCATGTTTACAAACTTTGTGTAATCATTTTATACACAAACGCTTGTTGTAATAAAACAAACTTTGCGTTAATAACGACCGTTTATAGGCGTATGTTTAAATGTTTCTTTCATTTAAAAGCAATATCGTAAATTGATTGTAATATCTAGAATCATTCTACACGGTGTGATCAAAAAGATCGCACACTACTGTTGCCAGAACCACACATCAGTAGTGTCATCTATTAGACGTCACCGAAACAAAAATTGATATCGTACTTATCTGTTATATGCCCTTTTTGTCTCAAATGTACCGCATATAATAATCATATTAATTTATGATTGAATTGCATTTGGATTTATCGGTAATACTATAAAAGAGTGCCTATCAGATACCATTATTGGCTTTTTTGTGGATCATTTATATAACATATTGACCCCTTATGATTAGTTTGACCATACATACATGTAGGTTAGGTGCAAAACGGTAACGTATTGTCCAGTAATTTTTTGTTATTATTGTGCCCGACAATCCAATAATATAATAGCAGTCCATCACTGCCGATGTCTTCATGCATGTATGATTTTCTCATTTTCATTACATAATACACAATGATGTCACTGATGAATGGAGCGAAACGAGGAGAATCGGGGACATTGAAACGAATTATAAAAAGGTCATAAAGTCATCGATCGATTAACCAAATTATATGATTCTGTAGGACTTGTTTTGTACCTATACACCTGATATATACATACTTAAATATCCTTAATTAAGACTCTTGTGTATGTGTAATACGTAAATATTTTGAATTTGAAAATGCGTAATCGTTTTCGGATAGAAAATATTCAAAAATTTTATTTAATTGTTCAAGTCTTTAGAGATTCTCATACTAAAGGCCCAAAACACCTAAACAATGTTGATAAGTGTATACAAATCCCGATTAAATATGGTAGTTTAAATTTTTGTGCATAAAAACATTAGTTCCAAGAAGAAATTTTCCCAAAAACAGGATAATTTTAAACCAAATTTTCTTCCCAAAACACCTTATTTACCATATAAATTTTGTCAAAATCCTTAAATCTATTTTCGAGAAATTAATTACAAAAGAAAATTGTTCGTAGAATTAGGATGTATCATATGAGCTTTTCTCTCTGTATTGGGCTAAAGGTTAGATACACCAATTAGGAAAAAATTACTACAACATTTTGCCTATAAATAGTTTATTCGAACACTTTCCTTCGTGCACTATTTGTTATTATTATGTACAATTTTATCCTTGATAATAAATGATTTAAGATTTCATAATTAGTTCGTGACATTTCCGAAATATGTACTTACTTATTCCAAACTATTTCAATTTATCTGTCGCAGTTAACGCAATTATAATGCACATAATAAACTAATTGCGCCGTTTACTCGGGATTTTTATATAAAATTACAATTACGCATTAAATCGCTCTGATTATTTGATATTTTACTCGATATTGTACTGCATTATAACAATTGTCAAATAAACTTAATTGTAATGATAATTTGGAGTTGTTTTGAGCATAAGGATTATTTTTAATAATATAGGGTATAGACTTATTTATCCTTTTTGAAAAACGTTACTTTTCGATGGCTGTTGTCTACGTCTGGCAACATTATCAGTGCGTGTAGACAGGACAACTCTAATTTTCGTATTCTTTAATTAAAGGAAGTAATACATGTAATTACCCGCACCAATGCACTAGACTAGAGCCTTTTATGAACTCTAGGTTCGTTAACCTAAACCCATATTATATATATATATNATGCATACATATTTACAAACCGAAGTATCCGGTACACTTTTTGTTTTGTATTAATTAGGCCAACTGTTTTAATTTAAAATAATTTTACTATAGGTAGTAATTTTGCATATACATAAACGATATCATATTTAAACTTATGTAATACATAGACACTTGCCCTGTAATTAATAGTTCTGTTAAAGAGAGTTTTCACCCTTACAAACCCAATTATTATCATCATATTGACGCAATTAAATTCAAACGGTATTTACTAATGATTTGTGATATACTGTATATTGAAATATATACAGATATAAACATACGTGTAATAACAAATGATTACTTTAATAAGAAAACGAATTACTTATTAACTTTCTTGTTAGTTGAATTTAATGATTAGTTTTCAATTATTTACTTTATACCGTTGTATTACTTACTGACTTCTGAAACCGAAGCTTTCGTTTTTGAACTCTTGAAGTTACATTATTATTAAATTTTAGAGTGTAATAAGGTGATGGAATTTCTCAATAATTTTATCGATATTGGATTGTAGCTATAGTAGTGTTTTACGTGTTTACGAGTACTTTGAGTGCATTTATAATAAAACTGAAAACTTTTAATAAGCATTAGTGCATTTGTATATTTTAGCAAATGTAATGTTTAATAAGCTATCATATTTTTTAGATATGTATACATAATTAACTAGAAAGTTTATGTAAAATATGATCTACTAATAGTTTCTATATACTTCTAAAAACTTTGCTGTGAGATTTGCATATTTCAGCATTTTTAATACGAGAATTCGTTCTCTGTTTTGTCTCATATCATGTGTCATCTTTTTCTGTATTTTTTTTTATAATTGTGTGTAGAATAATCGTTAATTTAATAAAGTTGATCATAATTAAGGTTAGTCTTTTCATTTGATACAACAAATTTACTTGAAAAATCTGAAAATTGTTTGTTGTAACTACAAAACGGTAGAGTTTTTAAAATAAATTTATTAATAATAGTTATCCTTTTATAGTGTAATAATATTACAGGATCGTAACTATTTTCTTTGGCTCCAGTTGTGAGGTAATTTTAGGTGAAAATTTTCTTTGGTAGTCACGAAGGTACTATTAATAAAATGCGATACTCATACAAGCATCTGTCCACATTTATTAACAACTTGACTATTCCTAAAATCAGCCAAATCGTTTGTCAGAACTCCAGGACGTTAAACCTGGTCTCGAAATTTATTTTTAAAAGTTGTTCTCTTTTAAATTATTAGATTACGAACAAAAAAAACGGAAAGGGGAAGTATGTAACTGACCTCGAAACGTCTATACAAATAAATGTTTAAAATAATTACCAATAAAATGGCTTATTTTTAAATTTACTAGTTTCTGCATTATTATTGTAATACAATGTTTACAAAACGTAGAGTATGTTCCGTATCTTGTGGGGATTTTTCTATTAGTGAGTCAATGTTTTTCGTTTGCTTCAGTGATGTATCACCCACAACCCCCGTAAGCACAGGATCACCAGTAAGGTGTGTCCCTGCAAGATCCAATATGGACAGCCCGAAAAAGTCACCCCAAAATAGTCCAGCGTGTGCTGATAAAGCCACCCTCAAGGTAAATATTTTTTCTTTTCATTTTTATCATTCGTATCGACTACAAAACGTATTTTTTCATAATCACAATTATAAGGCAAAGTATAGAAACAATTTTATTAATGTTGATAAAGGTTCACTTGCCAAATGGTGGTTTTAATGTGGTAAAATACGGAGATGCTATCGACGTCAAAGGTATTATTTCGTTAGTAACTGAAAGATTATCAACTGGCGAAAGGTACTACAAAAATTCGTATGCAATGAGACTTCGTCATGTAACAACTGGGGAGGTAAGATAAAAATGATTGAATGGATTGTCCCCAATATCGTAAAAAAACAATTACAGATACATTGGCTTCATCAAGATACCACCATGTACCAGGTGCAAGAAAAATACTTCAAAAAGCACCCTTCTTCAGAATGGCGTTACGAATTAAGGGTTCGATATTTACCACCAAATCTTTATGATCTTTATGAAAAGGATAAAGTAACGTTCTTTTTTTATTACGATCAAGTGAGTATTCCCTAATATACCTGACGTTCTTGGGGATATGATAATTTTATTTTTCACAAGGTCCGAAATGATTACCTCTCGTCAAACCTTAGTATAGACCAAGACGCAGCAGTTCAGTTGTGTTGTTTGGAAATTCGTTATTTTTTCAAAGATATGCCCCAGGTGGCTCTAGATAAAAAATCGAACTTCGAATATCTGGAACGCGAAGAGGGCATGCACAAGTTCCTGCCCCGCAAAATACTCGAAAGCATGAAACCAAAAACCCTTCGTAAAAGCATTCAAACCCACTTCAAAAAGTTTAGCCAATTAAACGAGGTGGAATGTATGTTCAAGTTTTTCGATATCCTCGGTCTTTATTACAAATACGACCAGGAGAGGTTTCGAGTCGATTTAGGGAGTAGTTGGTCCGTTCCCGTCGAACTTGTTATCGGACCTGACCTGGGCATCTCATATACGACCGTTCAGGTGTCTAGTACGACCAAAATTGCCGAATTCGATCAAATACAAGCGATTCAAACCCTAGTCAGCGACTGTGATGAACACAAAAAGGCCACCCTTCAACTAAAAGTGGCCGGTGCCCAAGAAATACTTTTTATTACTTGCCCCAATCTAGATACTGCGGAGAGCTTGGCAGATCTAATCGATGGATATTATAGACTAAATACACCAAACCATTCCTCAATTTGGACCAGAAAAGGTAAGCAAATATCTACTCATACTTAGATTACAAATAATGTTAGACTATAATGTAGTTATAACAATGACATACCCAAAGTAGAAAGAGGAGACTGTGGTAAATATTAATTAAAAATTAAAAAGGAAGACTCACCCCTAATTACTACATTATCAACGGGAGGCTGTTTCGCGTTGATAATGCGCACGTTTGAAGTTTTTTTGTGGTAATTAGGGGTGAGTCTTCCTTTTTAATTTTTAAATGACTTACCCTTTTTAACTCGTGTTAATCCTTTGATATATTATTTTTTCGGTAATAGGACCATTAGTAGATAATGTTAGATTAAAAAAGTGTATGTGGCTAGCTTAATCAAAAGAAAATAACGATTAGGCTTTTTATTTTTCAATATCCTTTCTTTGTCCTGTTTCAAGCTACTGTTTGGAAACAGTTTCCTTGCCCATGTAAAGGTTAGTGATTTATTCTTTATAATTAGTAGATAGTATCTAGTGTATTCGTTACGATAGATTTACGAATGATTATGTCGTAGTTCACCAAGTTTTAAATATTTCAATTTTGTTTTCTGTTTGAATGTTATTAAAACATTTTCTAGATGCCCATCCACAAAAGAGTAAACTAAGTAAAAGGGAAAGTGATAATTCCCATGGCACCATGCTATCGGAAGATTATGCCGAAATAGTTGACGAAGAAGGAGATTATTCAACTCCCACAAGTAAGTTTTATCGTCTTTTTTAATTCTAAACGTTATTATTAATATAGATGTTTAATAATAATGTATTTAAACTTTTTAAATGTGGTCCGTGTTCTATAGAATCATAAGTTAAAATGCCTTTATTATTTGCCTGACTGGAATTAATAATTATTAATTTTTGTAGCTAAAAATTATCAGTTATTAAGAAGTCAAATAGAATTAGGCGATATTCTGGGCGAAGGTCAGTTTGGTGATGTACATAAAGGCACCTTTAAAACTAAGGATAGTAACGTCGTACCTGTGGCTGTGAAAACTTGTAAGAATCCTGATCCGGCAACTGCCGAAAAATTCCTAGAGGAGGCTTGTAAGTCTATTTTTCCCACCAAAACCATCTGTCTGTACTAAACCCTTTTATCTCTATTTCAGATATAATGCAAAAATTCGATCACCAACACATTATAAAATTAATCGGCATATGTCCCGATTCTCCAGTTTGGATTGTTATGGAACTCGCAAAACTTGGGGAACTGAGGGCATACTTGCAGAGCAACAAGAACCGTCTCGATCTCGCTTCCTTAATCTTATATACATTCCAACTGTCCACTGCACTGAGTTATCTCGAGTCGAAGAAGTTTGTACACAGAGATATTGCAGCCAGGAACGTACTGGTCAGCTCACATACGTGCGTTAAACTCGCAGACTTTGGACTGTCCAGGTGGATGGGAGAGGAACAAAGTTACTACAAAGCCTCAAAAGGAAAATTACCCATTAAATGGATGTCACCAGAAAGTATCAACTTTAGGAGGTTCACTACAGCTAGTGATGTGTGGATGTTTGGTAAAGATTTCTTCATGTTCCCCTTGCACTCTATTTAAGTCCAATTTTTTATTTGCTTGTTAGGCGTTTGCATGTGGGAAATTCTAATGCTGGGAGTGAAACCCTTTCAAGGCATCAAAAATAACGATGTAATTGGCAAAATTGAGAACGGTGAACGACTAGCCCTCCCGCCCAACTGTCCACCAAGACTGTACTCACTAATGTCTCAATGCTGGTCCTACGAGCCCAGCAAAAGACCCAGTTTTAAGGAGATTAAGGAAATATTACAGTAAGTTATTTTTTTTGTCTTTCTAGCAAGAAATAATGATAACATCAACCCATTTATTGTAGAGAAATTTTAATCGAAGAACGGTCAGCTGCTCAAGAAACTATGAGACGTGAGAATAGAAGAGTAGCTGCAATGTCATGGGGATCTACTGATGATTCACCACCGCCAAAACCTGCCAGGTTCCCAATGCAAGGTACGTATTTTTGATTTGGAATTATTTTTGCTTGATTTTCAACCTCTATATTTTCTTGCAGGTGTCGATTCTAGTTCTTTAGCTTCACTAAATTCATTCGGAGGGGCGTCATGTCCCCCTCAGACTTACATCGTGGCCCAAAATCCGGAAGTATTAGCGCATCTGATGAAAGAAAACGAATCGAGAAGCCTCTGTCCATCGGCTTATACAACTCCAGCATCGGTATTTAACACAATTGCTGTTGATTTTGAGAAAAAGGAGGACGACAAAGAACCTGTCCTCAAAACCTGTCCCATCCCAGTCCAAAGTTTGCATAAACTCGATCCAGAAATCCCAGAAAACGCTGTTCTCGAACAGAAACTTTTAGAACGTAAATCGTCAAAAGGTAGCGGAGAAAGCACCCCAAAAACGGGTTCATTAGAACGTTCGAGCCGTTACTCATCTAAAACAAATTCAATGGAGAAAAAGTCGTGTTCATTAGAAAAAAAATCGAATTCTTTAGAAAAAAATTCTCGTTTCGAAAGTCCACGTGGCAGCGTGGATAAAACAGTCGGTATATTTAGCCCTAAAATGGGCTCGTTGGAAAGAAAATCACAAAAGGGATCCCCTAAAATGGGTTCCTTGGAAAGAAACACAACGATTGGAAAACAAACCACAACTTTTTCTCCTAAAATGGGATCACTGGAACGAAATGTACACCTCTCTTACACGCAACCCCCTCCTATCCTGTATGAGACGGATGACATTCCCGATTTTCATCCTCATCCTACCGTGTATCAGTTTCCTGTCACACAAAGAGAGATGCAACTTCCAGAAGAAAACATTTACGACTTTGGCGGCGCCGACGTGAAAAGTTGTGCACATAAACAACCATTTTTTGCTCAAAAAGTCACAAACGACTCAAAATCACAAGTTCAGGTTTGATATTTTCGTCAAGCATGGCTCGTGACCAGTTGGTGTTATCACATAGAAAATAGCGAGTAGGCTTTTTATTTTTCAATATCCTTTCTTTGTCCTGTTTCAAGCTACTGTTTGGAAACAGTTTCCTTGCCCATGTAAAGGTTAGTGATTTATTCTTTATAATTAGTAGATAGTATCTAGTGTATTCGTTACGATAGATTTACGAATGATTATGTCGTAGTTCACCAAGTTTTAAATATTTCAATTTTGTTTTCTGTTTGAATGTTATTAAAACATTTTCTAGATGCCCATCCACAAAAGAGTAAACTAAGTAAAAGGGAAAGTGATAATTCCCATGGCACCATGCTATCGGAAGATTATGCCGAAATAGTTGACGAANGTTAAATTGTTTGAATTTTATCCACGTCGTTGGTTTTTTATGAATTGGAATTTATTATTTTATTTATTATTTAACTACATAGTAACATTATTTTTTATCTATTATTTATTTCGTATTTAAGTTGGAAGAAATATGTGGCATGACATTTTTAACTGCACGTTGCCTGAAGAGTGTTCATAACAAGAGTTTGGTTTATTTCCTGATTTTGATGATTTCTTCATTTATTTGCATCTCTTTTTATTATTTTACGGCACAAGGATGTCACAGTAACAATTCCTATCTGTACACATTTTTTTGTGCTAATACGTGTTGCATACAAAATAAAAAATTTTGTAATACATTTAGTAGATGTTACATTGTATTTTCTGTAGCCTACATCTTCACAACAATCACTTTATGGTGACCAGTTACTGCTTCAACACAATCCGCTGATACATAACGACGTTACTTCGGATTTCAACAGGCGCGTTTTGGAACAAAAATTGAAACAACAACAGATCGAGTCTGAAGAAGATTCCAAATGGCTGGCAGAAACGGAGAGCAATTTGGTATGTTATGAGCTCCGATTTACTGTTCGTTTAATTACGATATGTTTGTTTGTAGAAGAAAAGACTCAGCGTATTAAGTTTCTCTGAAACGGACACACTTCGTGACGGATCTCAGTCTTTAACATCTCTACCTGCCAGTCCCTTGTCTTCGTCGCTATCAACATCTACTCCATATCAACTTTCCTCCAGCATAGCCAGTATGTCCATGAGTGGGAACGGTTTACAAAGTAGCACGGGCTCGCAGAGTAGCAGCAAAAGTCATTCTCCCGCAGGATCTGTTACAAGCACTCTTACATTAACAGAGAAAAACGAATATTTAAGGACCCATGGAAAACTCCAGCCACAGCAACAACAACAACAGCAGGAAAATGATGACAGTAAGAAGGTAAAACGATTATTATTTAATTTTATATCTTGTCATATATCACCCTAATTTATTTTTATTTTTTTTTATAGAAAGTTGAACCTCAACCTACAGCAGACCTTGACCGTACAAATGACAGAGTGTACGAATGCACCACCCTAGTGGTGAAAGCAGTAATGTCCTTATCACAAGGGGTGCAGCAATCACATGCTGACCAATATTTGAACCTTGTCAGGAATGTTGGTTTAGCTTTGAGGAACCTATTATCTAGCGTGGACGAATTGGTAACTGCTTTTCCCAGTTCCGCCCATCGGGAAGTCGAAATGGCTCATAAAGTCCTAGCCAAAGACATGACTGAACTCGTAAACACCATGAAATTAGCCCAACAATACAGTAACACCACTTTAGATGCTGAATATAGAAAGTAAGTTACACAGATTTAATAGTTTTTTCAATTAGTGAGAAAGTTGTCATTAATAAAAATTAATTTCTTTTGTTTTATTTCAGTTTAAGATTAACAAATATTGTATGTCAAGGTTTATGTAATAGCTTAAAGGATGTTGTTTTTAGGGGCATGCTGGGGTCTGCTCACATACTGGCTATGGATTCCAAAAACCTCTTGGACGTAGTGGATGCCATTAGGATAAAGTTTCCTCATGTTAATCAGTATATAACGAATCGCGCAATTTTTCATCCTCAATCCCAGGTAGCTTCAAACCCTCCGGACCCTAGCATTAATTTCTCCCCCACCCCAGTCACCTGTACGTTTATACAAAGTCCAGCCTTTTCGCAGAAAGCCCACATGTCCAATTCCAGTAGTTCGGCTTTGACTACAAACGAAGTTGGAAATAGTTAGTCTCCACGATGACAGTTAAACAGGTTGTTTCCTTTTTTTGTGTGTTATTTTGACTATGTACATATTTTTTGATGACGCGATCGACACGCGTTTCGTACTTCCAAATAAATCATAGAAACGATTAATGGTTAATAAGAATTGTTTTAAAGTGATGAGATCGTGTCTGGAAGAAGGTCGTAAAGACGATAAATGACTGCAGAATATTTCGCTCATATTTTTAATAGGTGTATAATAGAAAATGTTCTTCAGGAATTCTATAAATTTTTTTTCGAATAGAATAAGTTAATGTAAGAAATTGGAACCTTCAGAATCGATAGTTTTTGTTTAATATCATTTACTTGACATACAAATAAGAGTGAGATACCACTATGTACGTTTATCGTCCTGTAGGCCTTTGACGCTTGCTTACTCGCTCGTATTGCTCGCTTTTTTAGACTTTGTATATTTTTTGAAAATAATTGAAAATGAACTAGTCGCTTCCGCTTTTTATAAAATAAAATGTAGGTGATAACAAGCGACCTATACATACATATAATATATATTTCTTATATTTAAATACCGTTGCTCAATACCGCGATAACATACGTATAAATATTTTTTTTTTACATACTTTAGCAGTCCCAAATGTTTGCAAAATATTTTTTGTTTTTTTTTATGTCCTTTAAACATACACAACTGTAAGAAAGTAAAACTATTACAGTACAACGATAAATAATAATTAAGATGTATATTTTTTTGGTGATAAGAAAATAGTTTATCGGTTTAAATTCAATTTTTGGTCATTCAGATTTAATTTTGTCAATAACCGACACCAGCATAATATTCTCATAAGGCGATTTTTCAACCGTCAATTTCTGCCATCTTCAGGCTGAAACTCCTTTAAAGTTTACGATATTGTTTTAAAGAACTTTGAGCTTAAAGAAGACCCAAATTGACATCTAAATGTCGCCTTATGATTCTTATATTGAACTGTTGTCGGTTATTAGCATAAAGAAACTTGAATATTTATTCAATAATTCATAAATGTGTATAAATTTTAAATTACTATGGAAGATACAATTTATTATCGTATCAAATTATGTGCTTGTTTTTGTTAAAGATTGTTCATTTATTTATGCTGTATAGTACAAGCAGTATTCTTTTCTAGCATTTTTAATATGTATACATTAAAGTATTATAAATATCTTAAAATATTAATTCTTATTGCGTAATGAATAATTTCACTTTTATTATAAAATTGCGATTTTCATTAAATTACTTCGATATTCTAGTCACAGAAGAAAAAATAACAAAAAAATAACCAATACATTAGGTAAATGCATAAGTAATTAATTAATTAATTAAATAAATATTATTACGAAGATCTAGGGCTTTAATTTATTCAATTGGTGCTACAGAAAGGGTAAATTTATTTAGGATGAATTAAAAAGTTACCGATTTATTATTGTCATTATAAAATAAAACATTTTTATTTCAAATTGAATAGTAAAAGAATAGGTAATCGTAAGGTATTAATAAGATAAAAAAAATTATCATAACTTAACAGTTGAAACCAGGTAATCGAACGTTTCGTCAACGTATTACAAAGAATATCTTTTAAATTTAAAATATCCTGTATTACCTCTAACTATCTAAACGTCTGCATAGGACTGCGGCCGCGAAAGCCTGCTTTTAAAAATTGTAATTATCGTGTTTACATAACATTTGACGTGAAATAGGATGAAGAAAACTGGTCTTAAAAGATAAGTAACGGTCTTAATCTAACACGAATTTATAGATGAATTAACAGAATTATACTTGGGATCGACCACCGACGAATTGTTTTAATATGGTGAATACGATGATAGAAAAGTTTACTGTTGTAGTAAAGCAGCTGCAAACGTTTTTTGTTTATACTGATCGCATTTAATCATGTGATGGTAGCTTCGGTAAACTAATATTTAATTAATATTCCTTTAATTAAAAGACTGCGATTTATTTTTGCAACAGCAAAAGGATCTAAATCACATATAGTTACAAAGTTGTTTCTCTTTTTGATGTGAAACATCTTTTAGTGCCCCTCGGGGGTAAAACCTACTCACGCAACTGTGTGGAACATAACTTGAATCCTCGTGCTGCTCTGCTGAAACGAATCACTCTGTATAATTTACCTTCACGAACGTGTACGTATGTATTTATATTAACAGTATTTTTACGATAACTCCTTTATTCAATTAATTGCATTTGAAATAAGCCCTATCAATTTTATTCAATTATGGTGTACCTTGTAACTGTTTTTGCGAAAGACTACAATATTCTGCCTTTAATTAAGTAAATTTGCCTGTATGAAAGATATCGTATCGTATCAAGTTTTTTATTGTAAATTCGACTTTGTATTATATGTATATGATGTATAAGTGTTTGTTTTGTGTTTTATTAGAAATATATACGTTTTATCTTAAACTGTTTTGGTCGTAGTATACTTAATAATTAGAAATTAAAGGAATTATAGCTGATAAAACTATTATGAAAAAACCTTATCATCAGATATTAAGGAATGAAAACATTTTTTTTTTTTGAGGTTTCATAAGATTTTTAATAAGTCTATTTAATTTTTAAACGACGCACTTCATCCGAAACAAAAGATAAGATTAAATAAAAATAGTTGTACATTTGTAGAAAAGCAAACACGTTTCATTAGAGACATCATTCGACACTGCGATGTTTTTAGAAACGGTTTTAATTTTAACAATTTCCTTGTTACTGTACATATTTTTGTACTACAAGCATTGTTTTACTTATTGGTCAAAAAGAAATGTAGAAACGTTACCCCCAAAAATACCCCTCGGTAACATAACTTTAGATTTTTTTAAGGGATCATCATTTTTAGTGTTCGCAGATGTTTATCGTTACTTTAAATCGAAAAAGAAGTGCAAATATTTCGGTTTTTACACCCTTTTTCGTCCAGTATTCGTACCCACGGATACCGAGCTGATAAAGAAAATACTGATTACCGATTTCCAGCATTTTACAGACCGTGCGAGTTATTGTAACGAAGAAGTAGAACCCCTAAGTGCAAATTTATTTTCCTTAAAAGGAGAAAAATGGAAATATATGCGAACCAGGTTGACACCAACGTTTACATCTGGGAAATTGAAGTATATGTTCCACACCATCCTGGATTGTGCTCGTGAGATTTCCACCACATTGGATAAAATAATAATCCAAAAAGAACCTGTTAACATACAAGAACTCATGTATAAAATCTCCATAAATGTTATCGGTTCGACTGCCTTTGGCTTAGATATCGACTGCTTTAATAATCCCAACACAGAATTCAAATATCACGGCCTAAGGGTTTTCAATAAAGATATATCGAGGAGAATCTTATTCTTTATTGAATTATTCTTCCCAAAACTGTTGTTCTTGTTTCGAGTAAACTTCGTCAAAGTTCCCCGAGACACCACGGAATTTTTCTTCAAAATAGTTAAAGACATGGTAAACTACCGAGAAAGCAATAACGCCAAGAGAAATGATTTCATGCAACTTTTAATAGAACTCAAAAACGACAAGACCAAAGGAGAATTTACAATGGATCAGATAACTGCGCAAAGTTTTATTTTCATTTTAGCCGGATTCGAAACTTCTTCAACCCTTTCCAAATTCTTAATGTATGAATTAGCCCTTAATCCTGAGATACAAAATAGAGTAAGAGAAGAAATAATCACAGTTTTAAAAGAATTTGACGGAAATGTAACTTACGAAGCCGTATCTAAAATGCGATATTTGGAAATGTGTGTATGTGGTGAGTAAGTTTTGAATGCAAAAATTATGGTCACTAATGGTATAGTTTTTAGAAGCTGCAAGAAAATATCCTGCCCTACCGGTTCTTACACGCGTTTGTTGCAAAAATTATAAAATTCCCGATACTGATATCGTAATTGAGAAAGGGACAGTTGTACTAGTGCCAGTTCAGGGAATACATTATGATCCCGAATATTATCCCGAACCAGAAAAATTCGATCCTGAAAGATTCAGTGAAGAAAATAAGAAAAATATGATCTCGTGTACTTGGCTACCTTTTGGAGATGGTCCAAGAAACTGCATAGNTTTCAATAAAAACTGAATCGTTTGTATTGAATAGGGTTAAAGAGAAATGATAATTAAATAAATCTGTTGTGAATGCTTTAAATATGTGCGATGTATGCTCAGACTTTTTGCAATTACTTCTCTCTTGTAAGTTTCATACGTTCAAAGTAATATATTTTTGAAATCGAACCCAAGTCGAGTTTAAAATTCGTGACGTTACCAACACATGTTTGCAAAACAAAAATAAATCGTTAATTAACTATGAGATTTAAAGTTTTGTTTTGTCTTAATTAAATACTTTTATGCTATTGACAACCCCGTTTATCATAAATTTTAATTCATTGTTTGGTTGTAGATGAACTAGAATCTTTCAAAGATACAAATGAGGACCAAATCTTAAGTAAAAGAGATATTGGAATTGTGCTGTCTTATGTGCAGGCATGGCCTTCACGGTACGTATTTTCTTAATTAATTGTTTACGTTTATAGGATTAGATGTACATAAGTACATATTTATTTAATTAGAATAGACTAACATTAATTCAACAATATGAAATTACGTATGCAACACGTTCTGCATTGAGTTTGAAATGGTTGTAGTTATGGTAGGGTATAAGTGTCAAATTATCACAAAAATATTTAAATTAAACGTTTAAAAACTAGCAAAATTAAAATAATTAATTGGGAACACATAAGAAAATTACCTGACGTACTCCTACTTCCTTAGTTTTTCATAGAATAGAACAAACACTATCTTTTACAATTATTTGAAACGTAAAGTGAGGTTAAACAAGACAATTTTTTAATGTTTTTTCCGAAAGATTGCAAAGTGGTTAATTAAAAGGTAATATACCTTTTAATAAAGTTAACAAAATGTCGTGCCTTTATTGCAATGCAAAGTATGGCTTGTTTAATAAAGAGGTTTGAACAATTTTTTATTGTCTTGCAATTGTTTATAACAATTACTTTTAGGCTGGCTGTAGTAACTGCGGTGTTTCTTTGTGTCATAAGTGTTTAAAACATAAATATAAAGTTCCTGCAACTGGCAAGGAGACAAAGATATGTGGGGCATGTTATACAAAACTAACCAAGGGAATTAAAACAGACACAGAAGAAAGACCACCTCCTGATGTATTTCTAAAGTATGAATTTTATAATTGTTATTTCCTTATTTAACTATTATTCCTCCTAGGAGATTAGCTAATCTACAAAGTTCAAAATTAACAACTGCTTCAGACAGTAACAATCCTCAAGGATTTAAGCCAGGATTATCACCAGCAGACCAACAAATAGTGCAAAGATTGGAAAAACTTAAAGCTAAAGACAATCAAAAAGTCCTACTCTCTGATGATGAAATAAGAAAAAGACTGGACAATCTTAAGGGAGAAACAACAAAAGCCACAATCATTTATGATGTATATAAGGAAACAATTATTGTTCAAAAACAATTATTAATGAACTGTTGGTTTTAGCCTAAAGCAGTGGATACAAGAAGTGATCAGGAGAAAATCGATTCTCTCTTAGAACAATATGCTTCTGAAATTAATATTAAAGAAGATCATGAATCTACAAAAGATTTAGAAGAAAGAATTGCAAAATTAAAAGGAGAGAAAACTATTAAAGAGAAACAGAAATTGAATGATGAAGATGATGAAGCATCTGATGAAGAAGTAGAAGCAGAGAAAGTTGCTAAAAAAGTAACAAAACTAATTAATTTAGTTATTCTGTATTATTATTAATTGACTATTATTTTCAGGTAATGTCTCAAATTGCTTTAGAAAATAAAAGTGAGGCCAAGTCAATGGAAAAAGATAATGCTCTAAAGTTTGAAGAAGAATTGGAAGAAGATGAGCCTGAGTTGCCTTGGTGTGTATTATGCAATGCAGATGCTCAATTGAGATGTTTGGATTGCAAAGATCTTTATTGTGCCCGTTGCTGTAAAGAAGCACATAAGGAATGGGGAGATGATGATCATGAAATAATTAAATATAAAAGAAAATGAAACAAAAAGGTATTTCTTATAATATTTAGTATACTATAACTTTTAATTTACAGCTAAATCTTTAATAGGTGGTAATGTTNAAGATTAATTTTATATATTTTTTTTATTTAAAGTTTAATTTCATATTTTTTGCAATGAATTATTTCTTGTGTAGGTAATAAAACAGAGTCACATTATACTCAACTTCTTGGCGATGGAGGGCCGTATAACATGCGAACACATTGATACGATATGGGCCGCAGCTCAATTAAAACACTGCTCAAAAACTGTACATGATTTACTACCAGGCCTCGTGAAGCACCTTCCCGCTCCCCCCGCATTGCATCTTTACTCATTGCTGTTTAAAATGGAACCCAAGGAGCATACCGAACAGGTTCGCTACAAAGAATTTCTTCTCTACATATTTCCTTTAAAAGTAAAAATATATATCATTTTTTTGTTTTGCAGACTTTATTTCTAGCATCGGCATTAATTAAATTTATCTGGACCAAAGGAGGAGCTGGTGCAGAGGCAGGACTTATAGGATTAGCTGCATCAGCTGCGGGAATAGCACTCCACAAATGCCACAGTTCTACCGAAAATAGCGTATGCACATAATTGAATAATCTTTTTTAAGAGGAAGATAATTTTTTACTTCTTAGGGTGAAACTTCTGGTCAGTAATATTTCGTTTCACATTAAAATTATTTATTTTATTTTGTGGTCGTTACTGTATCCACTACTTGTCTTTTAAAATGTGTGTTTGGGTGGTAAACGTCATTGAGCATCAATATGGTGGTTTCTCTTGTCATTAATCATCCAAAAAACTGAATCGTTTGTATTGAATAGGGTTAAAGAGAAATGATAATTAAATAAATCTGTTGTGAATGCTTTAAATATGTGCGATGTATGCTCAGACTTTTTGCAATTACTTCTCTCTTGTAAGTTTCATACGTTCAAAGTAATATATTTTTGAAATCGAACCCAAGTCGAGTTTAAAATTCGTGACGTTACCAACACATGTTTGCAAAACAAAAATAAATCGTTAATTAACTATGAGATTTAAAGTTTTGTTTTGTCTTAATTAAATACTTTTATGCTATTGACAACCCCGTTTATCATAAATTTTAATTCATTGTTTGGTTGTAGATGAACTAGAATCTTTCAAAGATACAAATGAGGACCAAATCTTAAGTAAAAGAGATATTGGAATTGTGCTGTCTTATGTGCAGGCATGGCCTTCACGGTACGTATTTTCTTAATTAATTGTTTACGTTAATTTTAATACAAAATGTTATCTCTTATAGGCAGTGTATGTGTTGTTATCGTGATACAAAGAACTTGGAGAGATTCAACTGTATCACTCAAAACATAATTTATTTGGCTGTTTGCCAGTTAAAAAAATTAGGCGAGAAAGCAAAAGAAACATACAATAATGAAAAAAGTAAGGNAAACAGGTTGTTTCCTTTTTTTGTGTGTTATTTTGACTATGTACATATTTTTTGATGACGCGATCGACACGCGTTTCGTACTTCCAAATAAATCATAGAAACGATTAATGGTTAATAAGAATTGTTTTAAAGTGATGAGATCGTGTCTGGAAGAAGGTCGTAAAGACGATAAATGACTGCAGAATATTTCGCTCATATTTTTAATAGGTGTATAATAGAAAATGTTCTTCAGGAATTCTATAAATTTTTTTTTCGAATAGAATAAGTTAATGTAAGAAATTGGAACCTTCAGAATCGATAGTTTTTGTTTAATATCATTTACTTGACATACAAATAAGAGTGAGATACCACTATGTACGTTTATCGTCCTGTAGGCCTTTGACGCTTGCTTACTCGCTCGTATTGCTCGCTTTTTTAGACTTTGTATATTTTTTGAAAATAATTGAAAATGAACTAGTCGCTTCCGCTTTTTATAAAATAAAATGTAGGTGATAACAAGCGACCTATACATACATATAATATATATTTCTTATATTTAAATACCGTTGCTCAATACCGCGATAACATACGTATAAATATTTTTTTTTTTACATACTTTAGCAGTCCCAAATGTTTGCAAAATATTTTTTGTTTTTTTTTATGTCCTTTAAACATACACAACTGTAAGAAAGTAAAACTATTACAGTACAACGATAAATAATAATTAAGATGTATATTTTTTTGGTGATAAGAAAATAGTTTATCGGTTTAAATTCAATTTTTGGTCATTCAGATTTAATTTTGTCAATAACCGACACCAGCATAATATTCTCATAAGGCGATTTTTCAACCGTCAATTTCTGCCATCTTCAGGCTGAAACTCCTTTAAAGTTTACGATATTGTTTTAAAGAACTTTGAGCTTAAAGAAGACCCAAATTGACATCTAAATGTCGCCTTATGATTCTTATATTGAACTGTTGTCGGTTATTAGCATAAAGAAACTTGAATATTTATTCAATAATTCATAAATGTGTATAAATTTTAAATTACTATGGAAGATACAATTTATTATCGTATCAAATTATGTGCTTGTTTTTGTTAAAGATTGTTCATTTATTTATGCTGTATAGTACAAGCAGTATTCTTTTCTAGCATTTTTAATATGTATACATTAAAGTATTATAAATATCTTAAAATATTAATTCTTATTGCGTAATGAATAATTTCACTTTTATTATAAAATTGCGATTTTCATTAAATTACTTCGATATTCTAGTCACAGAAGAAAAAATAACAAAAAAATAACCAATACATTAGGTAAATACATAAGTAATTAATTAATTAATTAAATAAATATTACGAAGATCTAGGGCTTTAATTTATTCAATTGGTGCTACAGAAAGGGTAAATTTATTTAGA